GCTCAGGCGCTTCTTCGCCTTGGCCTCCCAAGTAGCTGGGACTAGAGGTATGCACCACCATGCCCAACTACATTTTTTTTGGTAGTGACAAGGTCTTGCTATTTGCCCAGGCTGGTCTCGAACTCCTGGGCTGAAGCGATCCTCCCACCTCGGCCACCCAAAGTGGCTGGGGTTACAGTCGTGAGCCACGGCGCCCGGCCTCCTGTTACTTTATATAAGACTCTGTCATGGCAGACGGGGGAGGGATTCTCCCACTGGCCTTGAAGAGAAACAAGGTGCCGTGCTGTGTGGGGGCCATGTGGCTAGGACCTGGGGGCAGCTTCTAAGAGCTGAGAGTCACTCTGGTTCAGAAATCAGCAGGAAGACAGGGCTTTAATTTTTCTTCTGCAAGAAACTGAATTCTGCCAACAACCAGTGAGCTTGGAAGAGGATCCAGAGCCTTGGATGAGATCACAGCCCTGCCAACACCTTGTTTCCAGCCTTTGGGACCCTAAGCAGAGAAGCCGGCTTATACCGTGCCAGGACTTCTGACCCGGAAAATAATAAATGGCTGTTGTTTTAAGCCACTAGGTTTGTGGTAATTTGTTACACAGCAATGGAGAACTAATGCAGTAATCTTAGTTTGAACCATATAAAAGTGCTATCTGAACAGATAAAAAACAGTTGAATACAGGCAATTGCACACTGTTCTGCCTAACACAAGTGTAAAGTGCTGAAAGCATGCAGTAAGCGCTCGATAAATGCCGCTGTTACTATTCCCCTGGCTCCACTAAACTGAGTGCCTTGGTGTATTCAATGGCTAAATGAACCTCTTTTCCTAGCATCAGCTTTGACAGCTGCCACGCTGCCCCAGGCCCCTCCCTCCTCAGAACCACCCTCCTCTGCCTGTCATAAGAAAGTGCTCAGAGTGGATTCACACCCCTTCTGAGAGGCCCAGGGCACATACAGCTCTTGGGCCCCAGGGCAGCAAAACACCATTCCAAACAGACAGAAGAAAACAGTATCACTGGGGCAGAGGCAACGGCTGCCATACCAGCCGGCAGGGAGAGGGCAGCCAGCAGGCTGAGCGACCAGGACCCACTCTGGACCAGCCCCTCCCCATCTTCCCCAGGTCTCAGGAGCCCACCATGTGGAACTGTGCATTTCTTCTCCAGCAAGACCCTGCCCAAGTGCAAGGTTTCCTGTTATGTAAAAAATGCAAATCATGCTTTCTAACCAACATGCTGGTCCAGATCCCTGCGTCAGACGACGGATACACAGAGACCTGAAAACTAGTGGGGCCTTTGGGGAAAAAGACATCAGAGAGGTACGCTTGATTGGGTCTGCATGGTGGCTAACAAAGCCAGGGAAGGTCCAGAACAGATCATCAGAGGAAGGACAAGAGCTTCCAGCTCAAGCAAGAAGGGTCTTTAAAGTCACATTTTCTACAATGTCCACTGGTATCTAGTTCCGCAAACCACCTGCCCCACCCCACTCCCCAAAAAACCTCTAAGAATCTCCAGGCTCTCACACAGACCCTGGGAGCCAGCTACAGAGATGGGTCTTTATTACTTTCGGGGGCCCAATGATAGACAACATCCATCACTATTCACAGATGAACTTACTTAAACCTCTTAGCTGGGAAGGATTATTATGCCTCCTTGCAGGTGAGGAAACTGAGGCACAGACAGGTTAAGCAGCTTACCCAAGATCACAGGAAGAGAGCCAGGGTCTGAACCCAAGGAGACAGATGCCAAAGCTCACATTCTTAACCACCGTGCCAAATAACAGAAGGCTTTCTGATATTCGGCCCGGAGTTTACCACAGTTGGTAAAGGTAATTGTTTGAGAGCAGACAATAGTGTACTCTGCCAGAAGCAGGGGCTTCAACGTGCCCATCCCACAGTGTCATCTGCCTTCAGCAGAGACTTGGCTGGCCCCCATGGTGGCCCTGTGCTCTAGCTCAGAGGCATCCCTGTACCAAATAGCGTCCCTCTGCTAGGCTTGCCCTAGGATAGGCACCGCAGGTGGTCGGATGCTCCCTTAGGCATAGAGCAGAAATCTCCTGGGGCTGCAGGGGGTGGTGGGACCCTTCATTAGGAGCAGAGGGGCTAGGGAACTGGGAACTAGTATGCACCCCAGCCAGAGGTGACAACTTGTCATCGTCGCGGAAACACTGGCTTCCTCCACCCCAGCTGCCCATCCAGAAACCCCCTGGAGTGCTCACTCCACCAGCCCTTCTGCCTCCCCTCATTGTTCCCTGCCCCCAGCAAGTGTCACCTAGATGCTCAGGACGGGGGATGCCACACAGCCTCCTCTCCTGGGCCCTGGTCAGTGCTGACCACAGGGTGTACGGGGGAGGGACTTGACTCCAATTAGTAACCATGGAGTGAAGAATATGCTGGAGAAAGCCACTTTCTGCATCTCTTCCTCCTTAGCCATCCAACTCACCCTTGAACTTGCCCCCCAGCCCTCATCCCGACCCCCTCCCCTCCATTCTCCTCTACTCCCCCCCATCTCTGTCTCTCCTTTCTCTGTTTCTCTATTCTAGAACCTGGAGTTCAACCCGCATGAGGCAAGGAGATGGAACTACAATTTCAAGGCCACGTAGATTGTTTTATGGCCTCCCCTGTGTTCCAAGTGGCTCCTTCCCCTTCATCCCTCTCCACCAAAACCCACTTCACCCTCTCTGGCTTTCTGGAGAGCAGGAGCAGGACCCAAGTCAGGCCATTCTCAGGCTGCTCAATCTTGTTCCCAGAGAGGGAGTGCACGCCAGGGTAAGCACATTCCCCAGGAACTCAGATGCACTCCCCGCTACCTCTTACCAAGAGGTTTCAGTCCACTGGACAACTTCACTTCCAGAGAACAAACAGAAGGGACTAAGTGCTGCTGCCGTAGGGCAATTGTACTACTTCATGAGTACCTACTGTGTGCCGAGCCAGTGCAAAGTAGTGTGCTAGGTGCTTCATGCTCCTCTACTCCTGCAAGTTAATTCCTCCAGCAGTATTTGGCGAGTGCCAGGCACTGTTCTAAGCACGTGGACTACCTGGGTGAGCAAGGTTTCTCCATGAGCGTGTGCTGCTTATTCTTTGTACTTGACAAACGAGGGAAACTGAGGCTTAAAGTTTGCCCCAAGTGGTGAAGCAGATATCTCATTTTGACATGTCTGACCCCAAAGCCACAGCAGCTGTCTGCTTTCTTTCTCCTCCCCTCTCCACTGGAGAAGAGGGTGCGTGGGTCTGACTCGTGTTGGGAATCTCTGCCCTCAAATGCTTACACAGTTGCCTTGGGGAGGAAGGAGGATGTCTAACCCCTGAGACATCTGGTTTTATCCTCAGCCGTGGACCAGGCTGAGTACTCAGAGTCCAGGGGACACAGACGGCGGCCACCAGAGCTGGGTGTCTCATGGAGAAGAAGATGCCTGGAAGTGGGGAGCATAGGCCAGGCCCTTCAGGATGGGGGAGGTCATGAACTGGAAGATGAAGGAGTGAGGTCTGGATGAGGAACAGGCTGTCCGGAGGCTTGGAGGTGGGAAGGATCCAGAGACGACTTGAAGATGACAAGCATGATTGAAGGCTGGGAGGGAAAATCCAGGAGCAGGAACGTGCGTGCAGGAGAGGGGAGGGCGGCCATGGCCAGTGCTGATGGCTGAGGAGGTGCGACTGGAGATGATGAGCCATCAAGACTGTCCCAGCAGAGTAAGGGTAGATACAAAAGGCGTTGGTAGCTAATTCTGACTGCACGGCGTGTGGGTCTGGGGAGACACTCGGGGGCTGTTGCAGAAGCCCCTGGGGACCTGGCTCAGGGGCAGCTAGTTGAACCATACCAGCCCTCCCTCCCACTCGCCCCCAAATCTTCAAGAGAAATTCCCCTTGAGCCCCTCCCTCATTCATGCCCCTGCCCAGCCTCTCTGGCTCTGCCTACACCTCTCCCATGCCACAACTTTGGAATACAGGGCTGAGGGGTGGGGGTGGGGGCAACACGGTAACCCCCTCATGAAGGATCTGACCAAAGAGTGCCCTGGAAGAGGATGAGATGCAGATTTGGAAAGAGAGCACAGCCAGGGATCCAGAAATGCTGCCGGTTACGTGGGGCAGGGTGCATGGCGTCTCTGGGGGAACCTCAGGTGGGCTATGCCTGGACCACGGTGCTTCCCAAAACCTTAGGCCAGCCAGAGAGACTGCACAAAGGAAAAGTCCCCCTTTGCCATCCATGCCCTCTTACTGCCTGGGGCTGCCTTCTTCTCAGCTAGGAGAACCTGGGAGAGACCCAGCTCTTAAAGAAGTTGTCCCCAAGCCCCATTGACATGACTGAGGATTTGGGGTGGGAACCCACAAAAACACTCGTCGTCCTCCCCTGTTGGATGCTATAAGCTCACAGTCAGTGTTCTATTCTTTTGGCTGAAGATTTCGGACCCCACATATTTTTTTTTCACGGTGCCACTTTATTGTTATCCTTTCTCCACGCCTCAGTATGAAGGACTCAATCTGATCTTTTTCCAGGAGTCGATTTTGTTGTTGGAAGTGAAGAAAGGCTTTAGGATCCGGGGGTCCGGGTCAGTGGGCGGGTGGGGGACGCCAGGATGAGGACGCTGAGGCCAAGAAGGGGGAAGGAGGAGGGCACGGAGAGGCGGCTGGACAAGCCAGGGAAGGATGGGGAAAATCGCTGCCTTCTCGATTTGGGAAGGGGTTGACCAGAGACAGCCTGAACAGAGACCCCGGTCTAGCCCTTCCCCAGCTCCCTCTCCCCACTCACGCGCCCGGACCCCTCGGTCTGTCTTCACATCTCCTCGAAGCAACAGCCTGAGTGCAAACTTTCTGGGACATGACCCCAGCCTGGCTTCCCACTCCGCCGTCGCCACCCGCGGCGGGGCTGGGGCTCTCGGCAGACCGGCAGGGGCGCGTCCCGGAGGCGAGCACATTCCCAGAGAGGGGCGCGCGGCGGCGGAGGGTCGGGCGGCGGGGGCCGCGGGGCTCTCGGTCCAGGGCTGGGGCAGGGGGACCCGGCCGGCGGGAGGCTCACCTGCAGGACACGGTGATCTCCACCTTGGTGGCCGGGATGCTGCCCGCCAAGGAGTCGAACTCGCTCAGCGACGCCATGTCCTCAGGCTGCTCCATCGCCCACCGCACCCCCACCCCAAATTAGTCAACCCCTGAGCGATTCGCGCCTCCTCCGGAGCGACTGGAGCCCTGGGCTCTCCCCCAACTCCGGCGCCGGGGCTGGGCGGCGAGGGGAGGCGAAGGAGCGTCGAGAGGGGGCGTGGGAAGCGAGAGCGGGAGGGGGGCGGAGGGAGCGGGGGCC